GAAAATCCACTGGATGTGCACCTACAGATTGTTCTCTTTATAGCAACGATAGCGGATCTGATTCTGATTGAAACAGATCAAGACAAGCGCCAGATAACTGTCTAATCCACGCAACTGGCGAAGCCATGTGCACCCCCCCCCCCCCCCACACACACACAAACACACACAAACACACACACACACACAAGCACACACACACACACACAAGGTGGTAGTGGACATTATAGCGTAACTTGTAGTTCCATGCTCTTTTTTCTTTTCTATAAATTTATCCTCGGCTCCTCCATCCGAGTCCAAATAGATATGCGGTGAATATGTGTGGGCTTACATTGAGTATAACTAGCTAGTGTGACATTCACATACCAAACATGGTGCTGCCATGTTTGACTTGAACCATTGCTTTACTACTGGCAGGGGCCTTGGAAGGTATGTTAGGATAGTACGGTCAGCCACCTGAAGTGCAATTTACTCCTGGGGATGGGGAGTCTCCTCTGAAAAGTTGCGAAAATTAGAGCCCAAATCAGCGCCTTTTATTAATTCGGAGGGTATCAGGGGGCAAAGAGTGGTACAGTCAATACCGTAGTGTCCGCAGCGTGTCCGATGCCCCTGACTGGTGACATAGTTGGAGAGCTACTGACCAGCCGTACACGCTAACATGGCTTCCACGCTACCTGATAGTCTTCAGTATAGTAGACGTATACACTAATGGGCCATTCACCCTATGCCCAAAATGTGGCGTACGTGACGTTTTCGTCCGGATAGCCATGAAAACATGGAACGTGGCGGGAAAATCGCACCCCTGATACGAAAACATAGACGGCGTATCCAGACCCCTGGATGGAAGGAGAGCCAGGGATGAATTTATAGAAGAAAAAACGGGACCAAGGAACTACAGGTTACGCTATAACGTACCGTACGGCGTCGGTCAGTGTCGTGCAATGTTATCGCATGAGCTGATTGTTTAGGAACTGGTGGTGTTAGTGGACATCATAGCGGGACTTGTACTTCCTTGCTCCTTTTTCAACCAGTAGTAGTGCAATGGTTTAAGTCAAACTGGGTTACACCATCTATTGAACGTGAACCTCACACTAGTCTTACTTCAAGTACTGCAAGCCAACAAATATTCGCCGCATATCTTTCTTTTTCGTCTATTTTCGGCAAGTGAGTTTTTGGCCGAAAATTTTGTTGCGGCTGAACTTTAATTTTACAAGGTTCAGTGTGACAGTAGGGAGGTTTCGATCTACGGAATTACGTATGAAAATAACGTAGGAACTGCACGTAATTTTCATGCGTAAAAATCAGAGCTGTTAGGTTTCGCTCTACCTGATTTCTCCACGACTGCTAAACATGCCTTGCTGCTTTGGAGACGCGTTGGCTGCATGCGCCCACCGCATGCACCACGAACCGAAGCCGTGTTTTCCATCTTATTTTGCACGTGGTGTACGGTGTGTGTACCTTGTGTTTCACGCGGCTTGAACTTTGCCATGGATAAATCCGGAAAATCCGGAAAATATTTCACAAAGTCCTACGGAGGACCCAACGTAGTAAAGAGCTTTCCTACGGAAATCAGTAGAGAGTTTACGTATGAAAGTTTCCCTCGCTACCCGGCGCGTACTACAAACGGATTTTCATACCTAATTACGTAGAGCGAAACCTCCCTAGTGTAAACGGGAGGCAGCAGCACATGCTGAAAATTTCATGCGGCCGAAATGTGTTTTGACCTGGGAGGCCGAAATTTGAACGGGTTGACAATTTCTAGACAAGTCTGGTACGGCTACTGTTGGTTCTGCTGACGATGTCACTGTTGCTGTTTTGCCTGCTCTGCTCGTTGTAACATCCAGGCGATTCATAGCCAACTTTGTGTCGCGCTCCTTCTGCTAGTAGTAAGAAGTAAGTTGTATTTGTGTAAGGGTACAATAGACTAGGAATGCAACAAGCAGGGGGTTTGGTCGGGTACCATGGTCTCGGGATGCAACAAGTAGGGGGTTTGGTCGGGTACCATGGACTAGGGATGCAACAAGTAGTGGTTTGGTCGGGTACAATAGACTAGGAGTGCAACAAGTAGGGGTTTGGTCGGGTACCATGGACTAGGGATGCAACAAGTAGGGGTTTGGCCGGGTAACGAGTTTGCGTATTTGTGTCCAGGCACCACGGGTACATGTACTGGTAGTCTATAGGGTAATTTTGGACATCGTCTTGTTGTAAAGTGAACGTGTACCGCAAACACGTAGCTGTGCTTTTTGCATGCACCGAAGCAAAAACACCGCACTCCAACTACAGTCGACTCCACTTATAACAAACTTGCATGCAGCGAATTTCGTAATCGCTATTATTATAGCGGATTCTTTGTTCATGTCCCTGTTCGACCCCGTACAAAATTGAGCATTTATAGCGAACATTTTTTTGTTTATAACGAACTATGACCCGTAGGGCTGCATGTAAACCAAGCGCATTCATACTGTCATTGGCCACACGTCAGTCATGACTTGCTACTTGTAGAGTGTGAGTGCATTCCTGTTATAACGAACTTCGGCTGTAAAGAGCTAGTTCTCCTGTACAATTGTGTTCCTTGCTATAATATACACTAGCTCCGTCAGTTACTCTACAATCAGCTCATGCGATAGCATTGCACGACACTGACGAACGGCACTGACGTTGTTTTGTTTGTGTTGTGAACCCTCTGGTTCTCTAAAGTATCAGGAACGAACGACCTCACACGGCACGAGGACAACTATTTATTCTCAACAGTATATTTCACTTCCATCGACTAATAACAACGAACAATGAATGAATGAATGAACACTAAAACCACCAGGTAGTTATAGCGTGAAAATGACAGCGTATATGAGAAAAGCATACACATACAACATACGACTACAGCGCACACAGCAAACCGCACATAGCGCATGTAGCGTATGCCACGTCGTAAACATCAACGGTACGGCGGAGTCGGGATACAACTGCATCGGAACGAACACATTGTCACAAGCGAGAAGGCCTTTCACTCTCGAGAACTTGTCGTTTCACAACAGTTTGTTTGTATTCTTTATTCTACGCCTGACTGGCAATATCGTGCAATGCTATCGCATGAGCTGGTTGTAAAGTATTTACCGTATTTCCCCGTAAGTTAGTACGTACTAACTTTCGAACTTAGCAGCCACATGAGTACTAACTTTCGGGGGTGGTACTATCTTTCGGGGAGTACTTTTTTTATCGGGGGTAAATGGCACGCAGTGGGAAGCCTGCGCAACTCTAGTGTCTGTGCATATGATGTACATGTATATGTATGTACTGTACGGTGTCTGTACATGTAGGACAGGTACGAACTTACTATCTTTCGGGGGGGGGGGGAACTGTCTTTCGGGGTGATAACCTCGGCAGTGGAAAGTGTATTTTTTATAGGGGAGGGGGGTACTAAGTGATTGGGGAGAACTAACTTACAGGGAAATACGGTAGTGCTCTCAAGAGAGCATGTCTGAGAATATCAAAGTACAGGTCGTCCCCCGTTAATAGGAGTCCGGTTAGTACATAAACCCCGTTAGTACATAAGAAATCTCAAGTCCCGGACGAAACGTGGTTACTTCCATACAAATTTTGTCGGTTAGTACATAATTCGTTAGTACATAAACCCCGTTAGTACATAACATTTCTCCGTACCCGCATGCCACATACCTCAATAGTACATAATTTGATGGTCTTTTGGCCTTCCAGTGGAGGCACATCGTGTTCTAGTTCATACTTGTGGACGCTCAGAAATCAGAGCGCACATCACAAACCGACAAAGCTCTGTTTTTTCTGGAGTGGCTATACAGGCGCGGCTGGGCATGTATCATGCAAACTGTAGAATCTTTGCTAACTGTGACCGGTATAACATAATTTTTATGTTATATCGAGGGGATCAAGAATATCTCGCTGCCTAGTCATTGTAGCAAGAAACACTCAGAAAAGTAGAAAAAAGTGAAAAATTCTGATACACAAGCAAGATATGTACACTTTCGTTTAGAACATACAAGCCCAGTTAATACATAACATTAATTTTGTCAAGTCCCAGAGATTATGTATTAACGAGGGACAACCTGTATGTGGGCAAGTGGATCTCTCCGATTTCGCTCAAAATTTGCAGGTATGTTCCCTGTGGGATGTAGATCGATTGTGCAAAGCCCTTGAAAAAGTTTCTGAAGGGAACCTTGAAACTTGCACACCCCTCAAAAATGGCCGAAATATCACATTATTTATGGGTCTAGAAACGAGTCACGCCACAGCGTATGCGAACAAGCTACGAACAAAACTCCATCAAGCCAACATTGCCTCACCCTAGAAGAGTTCCTGGAGCAGTACCGCTTAGCCACGCCAAGCTCCCAGAAGGCGAGGTCCATCACCCCCTGACGCCACAAATGATGGTCTTGAAAATAGCCAATTTACAAGCGCTTGCAAAACAGCCAGCTGCGTCCTCAATTGGCCAGAACTATACACCGACAGATAGTAGAACACCTCTCCTAGCGCTGAGGACATGTCCCCATCTTTCTTTTGGAGTTTTCTTGAAATAAACCTTTTTGAATTTTTCCACTCGACCATGCTGAAATGCGGCCAAATTCATACCTGTGCAGGAAAGCTCGCCCCTCCGCGACGTCTCCTCAGCAATTTCTACTTCAACATTACTCCCAACGCTGGAGAAGAAAGTGTATTGTTGACTCTGACAAGGAATAGCAGCGATAATCACTTGTCACTCCAATCTGAGCTCACTATCTGAGTTCTTAAGATGGCAATTATTTGGGCAAAGGATTGAGAGATGAACATCAAGATACAGCAAGCACACATTACCCTTTACCGGTGTTACCCCAATATATGACGGGGGGAGGGGAGGGGAGGGGGGGGGGGGGGGGTTGGCACTGCTGATCCCAGTGTTACCCAATGCATGACGGGGGGGGGGGGGGGTGGCTGCTGCAGATCGTTATGACACGTTCAACTCTATTCTGATGGATTCCTGTTTGCAGCAAGTGCACAAGAGTTCACAAACACGCTGACACGTGCCAGGCTGTGGACGGGCCAAGAATGGGATCCAGGGCAACATAATGAAACAAATGCTCCATACTACCAGCCGGAGAACACAACTGGACCTTTGAACATAAAATATGTAATGTGCAAGGCAAAGAATACAGCCCTGGGCTATGGTCAATTGC